ATAATGAATCGGAATTTCGTACAGACTGTTGAGTGCAATTTTATTGTACCATATTTGTAGCGTACATTTCTGTCATCTCTCACAACTGCATACTGTCGATACTGATATGGATTCATCGTCCCAGACGTGGGTCTTTGCGCTATCGAATTGCGTTATGGTAAGTTTTAATATTATACGTTTTGAACAATTTTTCTTCTCTTCATGCTAAAACTCTGTGATCAGTTCATATTAGATAGGTGTTAACGCTCGCATTTGTGGCACCTTCTAAAAAGTGCTTGCATCAGTATCTGGCATCATCTAGATCTACCCTGCTACCACTGTATTTTCTAGCTCAGCTGCATGCTCAAAATTAGCATAGTCGATATCGATGGCACATGAAGTGATACGTAATCATTGGGTCCACAAAGAGCCTCGTGGTGCTGATCTCTCGACGATATGAGTGATGAGCATTTTTCCCTCACGTCTTATCTTCTTTTCTTATGCCTTGACATCCAAACACTGTTCTGCAATGACTTTGTCTGGTTCTACAAGTGGATCGGGGTCTCGCATGTCTGCACGCTCTGGCGCGATGTTGCTCTGGATGAAGCCACACTTTGGAGCTAGTTCAGCATCACTCCTCGCATCGAGTGGATGACTGAACTGCTGAAATGCTCGAAGCAGGCACCACTCTTGGTTGCTGTGAATTTCAACGAGCAAGATTTGGCTAAGAGGCAGGCATTTGAACTGGTAGCCTTAGAGGCTAGAAGGATCCATGAACTAGTGCTGATTGCACCACAGGATATGCTACATGACCTGATGAGTGTTATCGACAATGTGATGCCGCTGCTCCATTTGCTTTAAGTGTCCGATACAGAGGAAGGGTTTAATCTGCTGGAGTCAACCTGGGCTTATGGATACCATTGTTACAGCAAGCCCGGCCTCTCGAAATGCTTCATATCAGACAATATGCTATGCAGTGTGGCGACCTCATCATTTCATCACTCAAGCACCTCACAGTTGTGGAATTACACAGCACATGCCAAGCCAGCATATATGAATTCCTCAATATACTCAAGAGTCTTCCTCTGCTTGAGAAACTGCACCTCGGTGACATCTTTTCAGAAAATGATACCGTAGAAAAGACTGATCTCCGTTCCTATACCAAGACAATTGCGCTCTCAAACCTGCACGCCCTGCATGTCAGCGCAGGTTTTGAACCATGCATACATTTCATGAAACATCTCTCTCTTTCCAGTATATCTGCCCTTAGTTTGTCCTGCTCATGGTTGGAAGGTGATCATGCTCTCGCTCAATGTCTTGCCAGGAACCTGCCAGAGGCTTTCCTTTTCAAATTTTGTGCCCTTTGTCTGTCCCAGAATGAACATTCACCTCGTGCATACTTCTATGAACATGACAACATGTTTGACGAGGAGGACAAGCATGATGTGCATGAACACAAGCAGGGAGGGAATGATGAAGAGAATGAAGAGGACGATGAAGGCAATTATAGTGAGGAGGAATCTGAAGAAGATGAAGGAGAAGATGTGTCAC